TGTCTCGAAACTTTTGAGATACTGAGTGCGTATATGAACGCGTGAGTCAATGAATGAATGATTAATGATTGACTGAACGAAATTTTTCTGACAAGTGTTGTTCGAAGTTCGCGCTTATATATCATTTTGGATTACCCTCTCCTAGCATGAGGAATAAGGGAGGTTGACGAATAGAAATCTTTGTTAGATTTCCATGGTCTCCTCTCTGCCCCTACTTATGAGCATTTTAGAACAAATGTAGCAAATCAGGATTTTATTACGTTCGTTCGCGAATAGGAAAGCATCTTCCAAAACGGGGGATTTAGGATTCTCAGTATCGCACAAGGGATGACTATTACTACCCTCTTGCGATATTCGGTCACTCACGTTTTATGATTAGTTTCCTTTTTGATTTTATGAGTTTTTAAGAAAATATCAAATTTGTTTGACTGAATGCCGCTTTATTTAGCCGGATGCTACTTTTATAGCCCGTTAACATCTGATTGTTATTTTAGGACATATACTGAACATCTCGCTTTAATCTAGCTATTATTATCGGCTCTGGAAATCGTGCACGTGTGCACCGGGTACGGGAAAGAAAAGAATCGTGAATTCCCCTGGACGTAACAATACATATTATATATCTATTATACATATATTATCAATCAAATATTCATTTTATCACTCAAATGGAATACCTAGGCTGAGTTCCACTTGGCGATCGCAACGCTCGCATTATTTGTCTTTTGTTTAACTTTCCATGAAAAACAAGGATGAAATGATTCCACGAGCGTTGCGATCGCCAAGTGAAACGTATCTCTAATAGATAGCGCTATTCGTATGTCTTTATGTTAAGGTACATTAGGTTAGGATACATAAGAATTCATAAGAGTGTAACGATTTGGAAAGAGTTATTAGCAAACTATTATTGTCATGTTTGCCATGTGTTTGTACGTGTTATAATCGTACATCTAATCTCATGTTCGTAAGTACCTGCTGAGTATCTAAATCGCAGTTTAGAGCTAGTATTTGAGATAATTTAGTCAATTGTCGAGACTGAAGAGTAGTGTAAGTTTCTGACAATTGTCACACCATGTGGTATTTGTATGCCATTAAATAAGATAATTTGTATGCCATTAAATAAGATAATTTTATAAAAAGGTTCGTATTTTCCATTCAGAACATTAGAATTTGCAGTCGAAAGTTATTTTTACTACATCTATTAGAATTTCAAAAATCACAAATTACAAATGTTATCAATTTTTTTTAATTCCACACTTATCAAAAGTTATACGAGGCAATCGAGGAGGCAATTATTTAGTCGTTGCAAAATTAATCATATTAAATATATAGAACAACGTAGCATATTACTGCAGTTAGAGAGCAAATCACAATTTACTGTTAAGGTAAGTTTTTACTAAAGATAAAATGTATAAGTTAACATATATATATATGTACATAAATTACACTAAACTTTTTACGATAAATTAAAAAATCATAAATTATATAGTATAAGTAATATTCTGAAGTAATAAGTATATTTTTCATATAAATATATCTTTTGACAAAATATTAACTTAATATAAAAGTATTTGCTTATTATTAATTTAATTATTTTAATTTTAATTAAGTTTATATCAAGATATTAATTTTACAGATACTGAAAGTATATTAGATACTGATTCTATTTCAGTTATTGATTTTGATGCGATTCCCACTTCTATTGATCTCAATATTGCTTCTGATTGTGTTGATCTCGATACGATTTCCAATTCTATTGATAATAATATTGCTTCTGATTCTATTTCAGTTATTAATATTAATACTGATTCGATTAATCAAACAAAAGAAGTTTTTGAAGATAATATTGTAACGATGCATTCCGGTGCATCGTTACGATTCCCGGCATGACATCCGCCGGAAGCTGCCGCCCGGCAGAACACCCGCCGGGCAGAGGCAGGGGCGCGTTGCGCCCACCTTTTTAAAACTGCCGAAATTCGAAATTCGGCCGAACATCGCCGAACAGAGTCGATGTGGCCCGAACCGTCGACCGGCGAAAGCCCGCGTTCGGCTCCTACCCGAATCCCTCCGAACGGGCCCGACCGTACCGTTTTCCGAAAACCCGTTCGGAAGGGGTTATACCGTCACGCGCCGACGCGGGCAATTAGCTCGTATAAAAAGGGCCACATTTTTGACGCTAATCACATCTCTCCGATCCGCTTGAAGCAGTACGCTTCCAAAGAGCAATCCTTGAGAAATCCTACCAAACGCACAGAAAGAGCTGAAGACAGAGGTGGAGCGTGCTCCGTCTCCGAACGAGAGTTCTCGATTCTGACGCCAAAAGTGCAATCCGCCTAATCCGCAGCTGCAACCCTCACGGAAGGTGGAGCTTGAGCCGCCCCGGATCGGGAGTTATCGATCCAGCTGCATCGCGCAATCCATCCTTCGCGAATAAAAACCAGGGCTATACGCACCGAGCATCGTTGCATGCATCACATGCAATTACGTGCGCGCATCTAAAAACAGACGCATAAACACCGCCGCGTTCAAGCGCATAGGCGATCTACACGCGGACTTTAAATCGCGAAATAAATAGTACGGCGAAAATCATCGTCGATTCCGAGAACCGAAGCATTCTCGGAATCTCGGGATTCCCCGCCGAAAAAGCGCCGCAAAAACGCGCGCCGTCTCGCGCAATAGTAAACACCCGCCGGCGTGCGACAGCGAGGCCGAAATTAATCCACATTAATATTCGGTTTAATTACGCGAACCACGCAACCTGTATACGAACTTTTATAACCACGTCCGCGCTCACACACTCGTCTACACATTTACACACTCCGACTCTGTACACACTTTCATACAAACGCAATAAACACAATTATACCACACACACCGCGTATTTCATTTAAAGACACCTAGCACCGGCGATCTATCCGCGCTAAGAAAAACGTCCGGAAATACGACCGTTACAATATTAGAAATATTCCTTCAAATTTTTCAAGTTCTAATATAGATATTCAATATAAAGAGATACCTAAATTTCAAAGTATTAAATATCAAAGATCTGAAAGGTTAAAGAGAGCTCGAGAAAAATTACATCCTAATCAAACTTTAATAACGGATTATTTTATTTTAGCTGAAAAAGTTGCAACAATTTTAAATGATAATGTTAAAATAACTGAAAACTTTTTATCTAAAATAAAAAAATCAGAAATAAATTCTAATGCAGAAGATAACGAATCAGTTTTATGTAACTTTTTAAAGAGACTTTTAGATATATTATTAATAAATTCGAAACATCCAGCAAATAAAAATTCTTATGATGAAGCTACGAAAAAATTTGGACTTCATCTTTATTATACAGGAGGAAGGTTATTGTATGAAACACTGCACGCAAATTTACCAAATGTATTACCTTCAATAACTACTCTAAATAGATATTCATTTAATAAACATACTGAAAAAGGTGAAATTGATTTTATTGGTTTAGTGCAGTATTTGAATGAGAGAAATGTTCCAAAAATTGTTTGAATAGCCGAAGATGCTACGCGCATTACAGGAAAGATCGAGTATGATTCGAGATCAAACAAAGTCTTAGGATTTGCTTTGCCTCTAAAAAACAGCTTACCTGAACAAAATAAATACATTGCCACATCTGCAGAAGCTATACAAAATTTTTTTAAAACTGCTAATAACGAGGCTAATAAAGCTACATATGCGTATGTAATAATGGCTCAACCTCTCATTTGTAATGTTCCTGCATATTGTTTATTTTTGTTTAGCACAGATAATAAATTTAATACAAAGGATGTTCTTGAACGGTGGAATTTTATGAAGAAAGAGGCAAAAAGATTTGGAATTACTATTGCGGAATTACACTTTTCGTCTGATAGTGATACTCGTTTGTTAAAGGCAATGCGTCTAATTCTTTACCAATTACAAGCAATGAAATATTTCCATGTAGTTCGATATGGCCATGGTTTCAAATAAATATGAATAAAGTAGAAGAATGTTACATACAAGATACAACACATATTATAACTAAAATGCGGACAAGATTTTTGAAAGAAGGAATAATACTTCAAATAGGAGATTATTCTGCTACTGTAGACCATCTTCATTACTTAGTAGAAAATGTTTCGAAACATAAACATCTTCTAACATCTTGCGATTTAAAAGGAGAAGATAAAATGAATTATCTTTCAGGAGCAAAAATGTGTTCTTCATCTGTAATTAGTCATTTAAGACAAATTGCCAATAGTAATGGCACAATTGCATACTTAAATATAATGAATTTTATAATACTATCTCTTCTAGATGAATCAACAGTCTTAAGTACTCGAGTTTATTACATATGGTATTCGGTTTTTTTTCTAAGAATATGGAAAGCATGGATTAAAAGAAATAAATGTTGTCGGCGCACTCGCCGAAATCTTTCTGATGAGAATGCCGGTTGGAGTTTGCCGAACTGCGTTCGATTTTTGGATCGGGAGATCCGAGTGGGTTTAAGGAAATTGGAAGAAATGTATCACAGCACAATATATTTCACAGTAAACATATGTACACTTTGGCTTTACACAGTCGATATCAAAGAAAATTGCACAGTCACAATAAAACTGAATATAAGGTCAAAGTCAATTAATTATACTAGCAACAATTATAAAGAGAAAAATGCCGCAGACGAAACTTTAGTCATTACACGCGATACAAAGGTGCTCACTATTCGGCTCTAGTGCAAAGACTGACTAGGCCGCGCTCAGGAATTCGAGCAATTATGGTCAGGTGAATTGCGGGGAGGAGGACGGAAAATAACAGCGACTTCGAAAACATGTGATTCCGCTGTTATGTTCACGTCTCGAGCGCGTGCTAGCATCCATAGCTCCAAACATCTACAGGGTGCGTAGCATAAAATCGGCCAAATGCCGAACATTCCGCCCGCCTCGCAGGACGAAATAAATAACGCAGAGCCACGGATGTCCGCCCATCGTAAGGAGTCCGCTTTCTACGAACGTTGGATGTTAGTTGGTAGCGTGATCTGCTTCCTCATGGTTGATCGGAAGCGGGCAGATCTTCGAGATTGGGCGACGGAATTGTGAGGTAGCAGTGTCCACCGTAACAACGCGTACGAGCCCGTCGTCGCCGGGATGCACCTGAACGACTCGTCCGAGAGACCACTTTGCGGGTGGTCTCAGGTCGTCCTTGATGAGAACTAGAGCTCCAGGTTGGAGATTGGCAAAACGATGTCTCCACCTTCCGAGCTGCTGAAGGTGCTGGAAATACTCCTGCGACCACCTGTGCCAAAAATGATCACGCATGTTAGAAATCAACTTATAACGTGAAGTGGCCGAGCCGGAAGTCTTGACAGGAGATGGAGGTTCCGGAATGCTGATTGGAGTTTCACCAATTAGGAAGTGTCCAGGAGTGATCGCAGCGTAGTCAGCTGGATCGTTACTTAAAGGATAGAGCGGCCTGGAATTGAGGCACGCCTCTATTTCACAAAGGAGAGTAGACAACTCTTCGTAGGTGAGAAGCTGGTCACCCAGAACGCGCCGAAGATGATACTTGGTGGCCTTCACGCCCGCCTCCCACAGCCCGCCGAAGTGCGGAGCTGACGGGGGAATGAAGTGCCACTCGGTACTGTCCTGCGCTAGTTTGTCTCGGCATTCGTGATAGAAGTCTGATGCCGTTTGAAACATGTCTCGCAAGACCTTGTCCGCTCCTCGGAAATTGGTCCCGTTGTCGCTGGCAAGGCGCGCACAGCGACCTCGTCTTGCTACGAATCGTGCAAACGCGGCCAGGAAGGAATCAGACGAAAAGTCCGAGACAGCCTCCAGATGAACTGCTCTGGTGGACATGCAAACGAAAATGCATATATATACCCCTTATAAGATTTTTGTCCTCGGCCCTTGGAGGCTCGGAGCTGAATTGGCCCGGCATAATCGACGCCAGAGGACCAGAATGGACGAGCAGCTGTGACCCGATCACCAGGAAGATGACCCATCTGCTGTTGCGCGGGTGCATTCTTGAAGCGAACGCATCTTACACAATTACGTGTGACGGACTTGATCAGAGAATTAACTCGCAATATCCAGTAGCGGCGGATGAGTACGCTGCAGGTAAGCTGCGGTCCGCCATGGAGAGTCCGATGGTGCGCATCGCGTACCAACAAGAGCGACAAATGGTTGTCCTTGGCGAGAATGATTGGATGCTTCTCCTCGAAGGCCAGCGAGGCGTGTCCAAGTCGACCACCGACTCGAATGAGACCATCCCCCGCGATGAAGGGTCGCAGTGCGAGCAGAGCAGAGCGACGTGATACAGGCTCTCCTTCGGAAAGAGCCTTGTGCTCTGCTGCAAAGCTTTGCTGTTGCACAATGCGGAGCCAGCGAAGACGACAGCGATCCAGTTTATCGGCAGATAGAGAAAGTGTTCCGGGGCGAGTTCCATTTCGCAGGAATCTAAGGCAAAGGGCTGAAACTCGAATAAGTTTGTTAAAAGACGAAAATCGACACAGTAAATCGTTTTCTGGTTCGGCCTGAAGATCTGGCCTCGGTCGGTCATTGAATACTGTCGCAAGTGAACGACGCTCTTCATCAATCTCCGGTTCGACTGAGTCAACCGCATACCAAGACTCGGAAGGAGATTTAAGCCATTGTGGGCCAGTCCACCACAATTGAGAGCTCTCTAAGTCTGAGGGAGCGATGCCTCGTGTGGCCAAGTCGGCCGGATTTTCCTGCGTAGAGACGTAGCGCCAATGAACTGGCGGCAACAATTCTTGTATGGCAGCAACTCTGTTGGCCACAAATGCTGTCCAGCGCGAGGGGTGTGCTCGAATCCAAACCAAGACAACTCGCGCATCCGTCCAAGCGTATAAGTGAGCGGAGGCAATTTGCAGCTCGGTCGCGATGCGACGAAGAAGCCGGGCAGCAAGCAGAGCACCGCAAAGTTCCAGGCGCGGAATTGAGACCGGCCTCAGAGGAGCGACCTTTGTTTTGGCGATCAGAAGAGATGATCCGAATTCGCCTGAGTCCTTGATTCCGCGCAAGTAGACTGCGGCAGCGTATGCTCGTTCGGAGGCATCGCAGAATGCGTGCAGTTCGTACCCTCCTTGAACGCCGGTCCATCTCGGTATCCGGGTTCGGTTCAACTCGGGTAACTTGGCAGCGAAATGCAGCCAGCGTGACCGCAGGTTCAAAGGAATCGATTGGTCCCAATCCAGGCCTGCCATCCAGAGATCCTGGATAAAGATTTTTGCAGCGACAAGCACGGGGGCGGCCCACCCCGCCGGATCAAACAATTTGGCCACCGTGGAAAGAACGGTACGTTTTGTTGGCGCTGATGAGTAGTTCAGCGACGGAACCGCTCTGAGACTCAGTTCATCAACGGTGGGAGTCCAAAGGACGCCAAGTGCGCCCACACAGTCTGCGTCGGAGATGAGACGCTCTGTTTGGTTGCCGTCCGGACAGAACGCGGAGTGCGTGCATGCCCACTTGCTGAGTTGAAATCCTCCAGCTTCAAGGAGACCTACAAGTTGATCCTTGATCTCAAGGGCTTCTTCCAGGGTGCTCGCTCCGGCTAGTATGTCGTCAACATAAATGTTGGAGCGAATGGCAGCTGCTCCCTTCGGAAAACGATGCTCTTCTTGGGCCAGCTGCAACAGAGTTCGAATTGTCAAGTACGGAGCAGGCGCCGTGCCGTACGTAACCGTGACAAGACGGTAATCAGTTATCTTCTCGGCGGGTCCCACCCGCCATAAGACTCTCTGGAGGTCAGCGTCTTCATGATGAACGCGGATTTACCGGAACATTTTAACGATGTCCGTGGTGAAGGCAAATCGATACAGTCGCCAACGAGTCAACACGAGCCAAAGATCCGCCTGCAGCCGAGGTCCAGGCAGAAGCAGGTCGTTTAGAGAGACGCCCGTTGTAGTACGAAACGAAGCGTTAAAAACGACTCGTAGTTTTCCACCCGGATCATTCTTCTTAGTCACGGCATGGTGTGGCAAATAATAAGAGTTCCTGATCGACTCGTTGCTGGACACTGGCTCCATATAACCTAGAGCAGAATACAGACTCATAAAATCAGTATAAGATTGCCTAAGAGGTGTAATTCGACTTAAACGATTCTCGTTCTGCAAGAGTAGCCGAAGTGCGCCGCGACGGGAGTCTCCGAGCTCCGCCGGCGGATCCGGTTTCTTCGGAAGGCGCACGATGTAGCGACCCTGCGCGTCGCGAGAATGCGTTGTCTTGAATAGATGCTCGCAGTAATTCTCGTCAGGCGAGAGAATCCATTGCGAGGAGACCTCTTCAAGGTCCCAGAATCGCTGAAGCTGTTGACCTAGATCAGGTTCAACGGTAGTGTGATAGCTGGTGATGCCGCTCGGCGGCAAGTTGTCCTTGGCCGTGAGCGGGCTCATCAGAACCCAGCCGAAAACAGTAGAATGAGCTGCTGGCTCTCCGGGAGATCCGCGTCTAACTCCGCCCTCGATGAGCATCCCGTAGATGTCAGCTCCTAGAATTGCGTCGACGGTAGCCGGACGATCGAAGCCTAGGTCCGCCAACTCGAGATCTTCAAGATGGGGCCAGTTGTCCTTGCGTACCTGAATACCAGGAGTAAACGGAGTTAGTTTGGGCATGACTAGCGCATTGGGCAGAGCAATGCGCAAAGATGGCGCCCGCCTGTTGCCGATCAGAAGTGATACGGCATGAGAGGCCTTGCCGGTGGTCACTCCCTGCAGTCCGGAGACTGTTACGACCTTGCGTCGACGCAACCTGAGTTGCTGTGCAACGCGCTCCGACACGAACGACGCTTCGGAACCAAGAGTGCTCGCGCGGTAAACGTACGATCCGATTCGGAAATCAATGTAATTATGGCAGTCGCGAGCAGCACCGCTGCTGATGGAGCTCGACAACGCTGCAACCTTTGCAGCTTCTTCGGCAGCAGCGACCTTGTTCGATAGCGTGGCCGAGGTGTGTGAGTCCTGAGCAGGTGGCTGCGAAGCCGCTGTCTCTTCAGCGTGCAAGAGAGAGTGATGTTTGTCGTGACAGAGACGACATCGATTGGTCGAGGGGCATGCTGTCAACGTGTGATTGTAGCCCAGGCAGTCGAAGCACGCCCTCGCCTTTCGCACTTGTTCGCGGCGCTGCTCAACAGAGTAGGCCTTGAATCTGGCACAAGATCGCAGCGAGTGATGATCCTTGCAGAGAGGACACTGCGAGCCTGGAGTGGTAGAAGCAGAGTGAGAGGAGATCTCGTCTCGACGTCCGCTTTTCTTTATTTTCGCTGAACTGCTCGTCAACGATGGCGTATGCGGCTGTGCGGCTTCTAGAGCTCGAACACGAGTGAGCAAGAATGACTTGAGATCATTGAATGCCGGAAATTGCTGGCTAGATTTTTGTGACGATTCCCAGAGAAGACGTGAAGATGAATCCAATTTTTCCACTAAGATATGTACAAACCAGTCGTCCCAGTGCTCTACCGGGCGCTTTAAAGCTTTGAAAGAGCGAGCTGCATGATTGACGGCACTGACGAGCCTGTTTATTTCGGCGGCGCTTGCCTTTGTAATCGAAGCACAAGAAATTAGGGCGCGCATATGACTCGATAAAAGAACTAGTTTATTGTCGTAGCGTGTCACTAGCTCGTCCCACGCCGATACATAACCGTTGGCTGTCATCTCAATACTGGACACAACTGCAGCGGCCTCACCAGTGAGGCTGGACCTTAAGTATTGCAGCTTTTGAATGGGAGCGAGTCCATCGACCTCGTGAACCAGCGACATGAACTGGTCTCTGAAGCTATCCCATGCCAGCTGATCGCCATTGAAAGTGGGCAGATTTATCTTTGGTAATTGAATTTGACGGAGGACCGTGCTTGCTTCACTGGATCCCGGAGAACTGGCCGGTTTAACGTTCTGCAAGTATGCAGTGATTGCGGTTTTCGTGGAAATATAACTTTCTTCTGTCTTGGAGTACAAATCTTGCTTCATGTACTCAGTGGTTTCTATCCTCTCCATGACTAGCAATTCGTCGTGAATCTTGAAGAATTTTGACCAATATGATTCTAAAAGTTCAAGACGTGCCGTCAAATGTGCACGAGTTAATTTTTCTTTTCCGGCCTTGAGAAGGTTTTCCCAAAAGCGTTCAATGTAACCGGCTGTGGTCAATTGCCTCTTGATTTGCGCGTCCATTATCAACGAAGCACGGGAGTGTCCGCTAGAGCGAGAGCGTTGAACGCACGGAGCGAGACGCAGAGTCTTTAGGAGCGCGAACAGCTGAGCGCTGAGCTTGTAGGCGCGCGGAGCGCAGAGCGTCAACCGGCGATCGCGACACGGTGGGCGAGACGCACGCGGAGCGCGGGGCGTCAAGCGGTGAGCGCGGCGTAATAAAAGATAACTTTATAACTAATAACTGTTATCTTTGCATAGAACAAAATGCACACAATTTAATAAAACTAATTACTTTATTTAAAGATAATAGCCAAATTTTTAAGCCCGAAATATTTCATCCTACAAATTTTAGTAGTCAAACATGTGAAAAGCTTTTTCGAGCAGCTCGATCTATGATTTCTACATATTCAACTATTATTAATTTTAGCATTAAAGATTTAATACATCGTATTAATAGAATTAAACACATAAATGCAATAACAAATCTTTCAGGAATATTTTCATTTCCTAGAGAAGACAAGAAAATATGTAAAACTCAAAATATTCCTACATATGAAGACATACAGAACTTGAATATCAAAGAAGTAGTTGAAAATGCACTAAAAGATGTCATTGAAGAAACTAAAAAATTAGGTATAAAGATAAAAAATGATGAAGATTGGAAATTCATAGATATTCCCGTCCCAAAACTAGAAAGCGAGTTTAAATGCAATGATGATATAGAATATGAAATTGATAATAATTGTATCATAAACAGTACAAACGATGATGACACTACTATGAATACAAATATTGAAAATACTGATGAAACTATTTTATTTGATAAACATAATTCTGATGATTTAGAATGGAAAAGTCTAGAATTAAAAGATTTTTCAAAACAGTTTCCACAAAAATCGATAACAGAAAATTCGCCTTTTATAAAAATTCAGGTTGATAATAAAACAATGATTATTAAGAAGTCTTCATATTGTTGGCTTCTTGACGAATGTAAAGGTAAAGTTAGTTCAGACAGATTACGACGATTTATTACCAGTGATAGAGCATCAATGAAAAGAAAAGAAAGCTCTATTCAAATTCAATCCAAGAGGAAACAGACGAAATATCCTCAATTTTCCAGTTCTAAGAGTAAAGAAGTGCAATATCCTAATTTACAAGATCAAAGTGAATATTTTCTTGAAAATGAGTTAAAAGAATTAACAATATTATTAGAAAAATATTATGCTGTTTTTTTTTATAATAAATATTATATTGGTCGAGTTATTGAATATAATGAGAACAATGTAAAAATAAAATTTTTAAAATCAGAACTTAATTCTTTCATTTGGCCACGTGATGAAGATATAGCAGTTGTTGAAACAAAATTTATTTTTTATGGTCCAATCGAATTAATGGGAAATGGACCTTTTGTATTAAAGCAATCAGATTTATTAAATATAAATAAAAAATATAAGTTAATGAAAAGTAAATTACAAAATCTTTAACTTTTTACATATACAGGGTGTCCCATTTTAATCCATCCAATCGAATATCTCGAAAACCATGCTTGAAAAAGAAAAATGTTTCAGACAAAAGTTGTATGGTTTCAAGGGGGCCATAAGATGGTATCATTGGTTTGACCTTGAGGAGTCACTTGAAGATCACACAAAGGTCACTTCAATTTTTTAAAATAGAACATCCTATATATTTTTATATATTTTTGTAGCTCATCTCGAGATCTTTCCAAAACACTATAATAAAGTATTTCTTCATTGAATACTTTTCGAGTTATGAGGCTTGAAATAATTTCTTAATTTTACATAAACCATAAAATATCTAGTAAAATATTCATTTTTCGATTATCTTACCTTAATACTTTTATGTACAAAATAATGAGAGGAATCAATTGATGTAAAGAAAACATACAGTTGTTTTTAAGAAAAAATATGGAATTTGCAATTAACAATTCCATATTTTTTGTTAAAAACAACTGTATGTTTTCTTTACACCAATTGATACCTCTCATTATTTTGTATATAAAAGTATTAAGGTAAGATAATCGGAAAATGAATATTTTACTAGATATTTTATGGTTTATGTAAAATTAAGAAATTATTTCAAGTCTCATAACTTGAAAAGTGCTCGATGAAGAAATACTTTATTATAGTGCTTTGGAAAGCTCTCGAGATGAGCTGCAAGAATATGCAAAAATATATAGGGTGTTCGATTTAAAAAAATCAAAGTAACCTTTGCATGACCTTCAAATGACTCTTCAGGGTCAAATCAATGGTACCCTCTTATGGCACCCTTGAAACCATACAACTTTTGTCTGAAACATTTTTCTCTCTCGGACTTGGTTTTCGGGATATTCGACTGGATGGATTAAAATGGGACACCCTGTATATAAGATATGTATAAAAATAAGTACTATTATACTTTCAGTATCTGCAATATAATAATATACTTTCAGTATCTGCAAATACATATAAAGCGATTATATTTAAGGTAAAAGCGATTACATTTAAGGTAAAAGCGTCATATTTAAGTATAATATATTAAAGGTTTATTTTTAGTTTATATGAAGAAAAAATATAAATTTTTGTTTTATTATTGTATAAGAAAAGATTTTTATTTTGATTTATCTTTTTTATATCATAAAGAATAAATGTTTTCTTTTTTATAAAATATGTTTATAAAATTTATAAGTTTATTACTAATTTGTGACACTTGTGATATTTATAATACTAATAATGTGATCTGTATAAATTATTGCTTATTATAATACAATTATAATAAAGAAGTGTGTATATTTTTCACTAATAAGTATGTTTTGTTTTCTTTAATTTAATATTTTTTAATTTTTAATAGTTTTCATTGTTGTACAGTCATACAATTACAATCTGCAAATGTATACTTTTTTTACATAAGTATAAATATATTATATAATTCTATTATACTAGTGTTATAAAATTATGTATTATAACAAATAGTATAAGGCATTATTAAACATTACTGGGGCATTATAAAGCATTACTGGGGCATTATAGAGCATTACTGGGGCATTATAGAGCATTACTGGGGCATTAATGGGTATTAGTGAGCATTACTAGGATATTAGTAGGACATTAGTGGGTATTACATAAAAAATTCGGCAGCAATGCCCAAGAATTCGGCATTAGTAGGCATTGGTGTGATTTTGGTCAGCGGTTTACCCCTCGGTTTCACCGGTCAAGGAACTGTAAAACGATTCGCGTGATGATAAACACGTATCTTGCAACCTGTCAACGGAATCGATGTATTCGTACGGAAATACACCTTTTTGCGTTAACAAATTAAAATTTTCCGTAGATAAATTTTGAAATTCCGATTTTAAAATTTTGAGTTTATCTTTGTTCAAAAATGATGCCAATTTATCGAAACTCGATGCGAGAAATTTGTATGAATCGATGAAACGTAATTTTATTTGATTTTTTTATTCTTCTTTAAAATCAACACTTTTAGTTAACGAAATATATATTTCCTTGGTTATCGGCAATAACTCGATTTTCCCTTCGAACGCTGTGGCTATTTCCTCGATGATAAAATGAGAATCGTAACCGGATAAATTGTGGAAAACTATCGGAATACAAAAAGAATCTTTATAATTTAGATTACAATTTGAGTGTGCTGGACCTCTGTACCGCCCGGTCAGATGGCAATGATCGCGAACGCGTGTATCGTCTTGCGCAAACGGCTTTTCGCATATGTGACAACGAGTGGCGCTATGGAATTTCTCCCACTCATCGGATGTTAAATTTACCATGGGGACATTTGTTTTTAAAATATTTTTTACACATAATGCCAAATTTTTAAGGTCTTCGGCGAACCATGCTAAACAATCGGCGCTTCGATGCGAACGATACGCCGATAATGAGTCGTCGAACGAGCAATGTACATAGTAAGCTAAACTAATTACTTGATGATGTTGATATAATTTCTCTTCTTCCTTCTTGGCCAGGACGCATTCCAGTCGGCGTAGACCACAAATGGAAGCCGCTCCTTCCGATTATGGTTGTTGAACGATAGCCACTTGTCCTTGTCGCTCGGCAATTGGACAGCGCAGTCGTTTAGCTTTCCGCAGTCGACCGTATGCGACTGCAACTTGTCGTCCGAACCAAAATAATGAAGGCATCTGTAAAAGAAATAAAAAAATTTTTTTTATCATAAGATTTTTTATATAAATTATTTGATATAATTATTCAAATAATATAAAATAAACTTACCGATTGCAGATATATTTCTTGTGATCTTTTTTGCTCAGTTGCGAGCTCACGAGCCTGGATAAATTCTTGATCCATGCGAAATGTCCCACGCTGTTGTCGTCTTCAATGTACGCAGATTCACATGCTTGTCCCGCTTCTGCTGCGAAAGATGTAACAGGACAATGTTCTTGTCTTCGATGCCGTACACATTGATTGAAATGTCATTTGCAAATTCAAATTTCTTAATTTGATTCACAGTCACTGGAAACTCAATGTCCCGGAGATTCAGCACTGTCGCGTAATGCGGGTACGATGATTCCCGTTCCGCATGACTTTCGGCGGGATACAGAGCGGCGACCACTGCCCACGCGAAACACACATTGTCCTTTGATTGCACGTTAATCACCGCTCTCTTTATCATAATTTCCCGCGGTAACTTGATGTGACATCCCGCGTGCATGGGATTATACTTGTTAATATTTACAGTCAAGTTCGGTATTCGCGACAAAGCCCACCCGCTATCGTGTTCCTGAAACTCTTCCAGAGACGCTAGGGTGAACTCGATAACGCGCTGTTCGTACCACTCGCGTAAATCAGATATGCGAAAGAGTTCATAGTTTCTCGTATTCACACTTTTATTCGCGTGTTTATCACCCGACACAAATTCACCGTTGAATATAGGCTGCGTTCCGTTTCACGCATAGAACGCATCGTTCGCATCACCAATGCTTGGCGCATAGACTGCGTTTCGTTTCATTATGCGCGCAATGCATGCTTTGAAACGGAACGACGTTAAACACA